GTATTATAAGTGTTCATTAACAAATTAAATTTACATGTATTAGTATATTTATGTATAGTAATATTGCGGTAGATTTTGTATCCTTAATCAGAGTAGTAAGATTACTATCGTGGATGTATTGCTCTGTATTTGAAACAGATATTAAAAGTACTTACCGTAAACAGAGGATTTGGCCGACTATATTAAAGATGAGGTCTGAATGTACATATATCTTAATTTTGTGTGATACGGCATTATAAAATGACTGTGTACAAGTTATCTTTTATGACAAAACTACATCACTAAAACCACAATGATTTAGTAAAATTCTAACTTTCTTTACCCAATTTGATTTTCCGTTAGTGTCAAACACATCATGTCATAACATTTCTTAGGAAGTCTTGATACAGACATATCCAAACGTTTTACCCCGTATTTGCACTTTCATCTGTGCTTCTAGTTAAAGTGGAAAGCGACCACATTCACCATAAATAACATTCAACAAATCATTAAAGGTCTCCGCTGAAATGTTACTTAACGGAACAGGTACACATGGAGGGGTATAAGTGAAGGTAAGTCTAACGATAGAAGGTATGAACTATGTTTGTCTGAAAGAGTGGTTAGAAAATCGATATCGGTATACAGAAATAGTTTTTTACCCTCCTTTATCTGACTGCCGTGACATGCACGTTTATTTCGGCAGACAAAATACTCTGGAGCTCAGGATTTTCTATGAAGACTTGATCGTTGAGAAGTTTGAACAGCTCCCTCAGTACTCCGTTACAGATCTTCTGGGTGAGTAGGCGTTGTATTGCTCACTCCACAATCCAATATCCCATCTGCCTAGCGGCAAAAGCAGACAACGTGAGCATACGTTTGCTAATTCAAAGTGTTATTAGTGACACTTAGAAAAGAAAATACAGAAATTTAATAATAAAACCGAAGATTTCTGTAATGTATGCCCAAAATAGAAATTTGAACTCTGTGAAACCTGAAGAAACTACTTATACTACTTACATATTTGTTACCACAACTAATGTTTTCTGTCAGATATACATGGACTTAGTTCAATGTTTATTTAGGGTTTTTTATAACATTTGGCAGACCGCCGCCTTATAGGTGGAATATTGCTAAGTGCTGCGTAAAACTAAACTCACTCACTCATTCTAACATTTGGCAACCACTTGGTTTACGAACTTTACCCTTTCTTCATTGAATCAGCGGGCATTGGAGGACATATGGGACTGTTTCTTGGAGCCAGCATTCTGACACTGACAGAGTTGGGGGAGTTTGTGCTTCTCACCATTGCAAATTGCTTCAAGAAGAAGAGTCTACAGAAAGATGAAGTGGTTACACTGAAGGAATATTGAGAAAGCAGAGTGTGGTGCAAGCACCTGCAGCTATACAACTACTGCAATACTCACATCATCAAAATAACATGACTACATATACCTTTCATAAATATCAAACTGGATTATAATTAGGAGATAAACATACTGTGTTGGAAAATCAGAAGTATATAATTAAATAATAAATAGCTATAAATTTGATTGAAAACCAAACACGTTGCGCGAAGTTTCAATAATTTTCTTTAGAGCTATTATTATTTCGTTATGCGAAGTGAAGACGTTTATAAAGACAACTACCACAGTCTACCTAGTGTAGGTTCTACATTTTCCTATGAAAGGGAGGCCTCGGGGTCTGATGGTAATCCATTCCCGACCGCTTGTAGTGTTACAGGTTGGAACTACAGTCTGTTTATCACAAAATGAGAACGATGAATTAACTTAAGTAACTCAAAATGGGGAATACTTTACAGTGATTGTTATAAAAGGAACAACAGATATAGTTTGGTACAGGGTATTCATACCGGACGGATTTTCTGGACGGATTTTTTAAACAATGAAAGTTTTCGAAAAATGTAGTTTCCTAATAAATGGCACGACACAGAAGGTTTCAGGTGGTTTAGCTGTGATGTGCTACCATTCAACTTAGGTGCTGCTATTCACTGTGGAGCATGACAGGAACCAATTTACAGGATTCGAAAACCAGATTCACCAGTTTTGTCTTTTTTTAGCAGTACCAGAGGTATGCTCAAGATACACCTGCAGATTCTCATTATACTTTTTGCAATTTGCAAGCCTGTTGTGATAAGATAATACTTGATAGCTATTTGTAACGACAAGCATGTAAATAAATCTGTCTATCACGTACTAACTTGCTCGTAGATGTAAACGCTTTTTACTCAAAGCTTCAGGAACTCTTTGACGAAGTCACATTTGACGGACATTACATTGGTGTGTTTTGCATTTTGATATTTGATACATAACTGCTTGCGAATGTTGGTGATTCTAAATGCTTTTCAGTCAATATATTTCACGCCATTATGTGGAGAAGAGAATGGTTTTTGTAACAAGTATGTTTTGTGTTTTCAACGTTTGCGTGGTGTCTTTATCTGTAGATGTTATTTGTCATAATGGGCTCAACTGAAGCTAAACAAATATAGCATGGACATTTTGGGATGTTTTTCATAAAGGGTGTGCTCAGTCATCACTGCAAAAATATCCACCAAAATATTCCCTGAATTAAAGTAAAGAGAGAAATAGTTCCCAGCTACAAAAAAGATTGACAAATAATACTAGGAAATATAAAATGCATTGCCATAAATATTTTCATGAAGCTATAGGGTTAAAATAATAAATTCAATTTATCATAAAATAATTAATATGTGTGGAGATGTCTTGACGAAAAAATAAAACAGTCTGCGTCTGACAACGTATTTGTATTTGTCTGCTTATGTCAACATGCTCTATTGAATCCTATGGATGGACGCCAAGTGGTTAAGGTGTTCACCACAGGCCGAAGACAGGTTCTGTTCCATACAGTGTTCCAAAGAGATTATAGAATACGAACAAACCATGATATGGTGAGCTTATTGCTACATATGCCTCACTCACATTCATACAGTTTGTTTTGGTGAGGCACGTGTCGATTTAACGTCTTACTTAAGAATATTTCGCTCATATGACGAGCGAATGCGTGTGTATGTGTGACTGTTTGTACTAGCCCAGACTTAAGCTGGTTTTATAATGTCGGCTCAGTGAGATACCATGCCGCAGTTAAGTATGAATACCACACTCAGACACATTATACTGATTCCAAGTCGAACAGTCCTTGTTTTACCCATTAATGCCGAGCAGGGATCAACAAGTACATATTTTTAACATCTTTTGGTATGACGCGGCCGGGAATCGAACCCGCAACCGTCCGCTCTCCGGGCGGACGCTCTAACCTCTACACCACGGAGACGGTGCTCTGCAATGGAGGGCTATCTAGATGTATTGTTGCAAGAGGACCTCTGCATTTCTACAACCGGACATTCCATAGATAAACAGTGTAGGAAATGTTTATCTCACCCTGTTACCCATCAAAAACACGTTATCCAAGCTACCTATTGCCAGTGATCTTTCAAACGTGTCACCATCCTCCTCACTTTAACAATACGGGGTTTAAAACAAGGACGGTTTAAACCAATATTATCGTAGCATTATAAGTTAAAGCCACGGTCTCACTTGTAAGATCAGAGTCTTATCCAAATTCACACATGTACACATTGAATAACTTTGATATCGATTGCGAGCCCGTTTTGCAAAGTATTTAATTGTTGTAGATTCGCCTCCTTATAAATGAAGTTTCGTAAAATGTCTGGCTATACAGATACACAATTGTTATGAGAATGGATAAACTCCCAGATACGGCTATTTAAAGTTGATGGTGTGAAAACATTATAGTTTGGCATGAAATGCTTGTGGACCCGGTTTTTTGTAAATATCTCTTCATCCAATGACCCCAATCGATCTCAAACTGTGCAAGTGGATGTTTTGTCAGACAAAGAATCTGTCTATGTAACTGTCAACAAAATAAACAGCAGAACGCAGACGGCTTGCAGAGGGAGGGAGCAAATGACCTGTAACAGCGGCAGTGTTGGGTCATAAAGGTCAACGTTCGTCAATGTAGGTCAGCTATGCTGATGACCCTGATGTCAAAAGAATCTAACTTTGGATGCCTACCTTTTTGTACAAGGTTTTGTTTATTGGTTGTTGGTTTGTTTTTCTCAATTTTTAGCACGATGTTCTTTTTCATGCCAAGAGCAAATGTTGTACGTTTCATGTAATCCGACACCTTATCAATCGGTTTGCTACGTTTGCTCTATTTTTAAAAAAAAATCAACACATTTCTAATTAAACGTTTAGCATCATCTGAATAAGCTTTCATGATGACAGCTAGAAGTAGTCAATGTGAATGATCCAAACGGTCTATCACTGTGCAGTGCACAGGTAACTATCATGAACTGCACGTGCATTTACCTTTATGACCCAACACTGCCGCTGTTACAGGTCATTGGCTCCCTCCCTCTGCAAGCCGTCTGCGTTCTGCTGTTTATTTTGTTACATAGACAGATTCTTTAATACCAATGCATAAAATCGTTGATTTACAATGTGACTAGGTTGTCTGACAAAACACCCACTTGCACAGTTTGAGATCGATTGGGTCATTGGATGAAGAGATATTTACAAAAAACCGGGTCCACATGCATTTCATGCCAGACTATAGTTGTTTAGTTGTTGAGTGCACGTCAACATGGTGACATGTCACGGATATAGTACGTGGATCAGCATTTTGGACGGGTCCAACAGATGCCTTCAATAACATTTTTCATGTAGATAACGTCAACTACATGCATTAGATCAGTATTGAGTGGACCAGTGAAGATTCGGTTTAGAGTAACCCATGCTTGTCGTAAGAGGCGGCGGATAAGGTGGTCAGGCTCGCTGACTTAGTTAACACATGTCATCGTATGCAAGCTGGGTAGATCGGTGCTCATGCTGTTGATCACTAAATTGTCTGGTCCAGACTCGATTATTTACAGACCGCCGCGATATAGCTGGGATATTGCTGAGTGCGGCGTAAAACAAGAACCAACCAGTATTGAGCTTGTTGTCAGGAAGAAAACAATAGAAGACAGCTTATGTATTTAATTTTAGGCTACATGTGTGTTTTATTTCAGTTACAAGTCGTCGTTTCACATTTGCCAAATTTAGAAGATGGGAAGGATTATCAGTCGCGAATATATTTGTTCAGTTTGATTTCATTTAGTTGTTCCTCTGAATGAACTTTCTTATCCGTGGCTGTTTCCGTAGTGTTTGATTTCCCTGAAGACTCCACTGTTGTGTCCGCCAGCGGAAGGCCCATAGTCTCGGGGCTCAACAGCGACAGTATGGAGCAGACGAACATCAAGGATCCCACAATGACAAACGGGAGCAGAAGATCATCACCTCCCTGCAAAAGACAGCTGCTCGTATTTAATCTTCACTGAAGATGAAGTGTTGCCATTTATCAGGGATAGACAAAGAAGCAGAAAAGAATAACAAAATTGTTATTCTGATTACTATTGAAATATTGACAAACTCTCTGTGGAGAAACACAACATGCTGTTGAGGAAGCTCTCCCGGGTAATACATGTGCAAAACATATGAAGACTTCCCTGTATTGAAATGTGATGACAAAACATGAAAGTAGATACAGTCCTTGTTTTTTCAAAGCGCATATAAGATTTATGTAGAAACGTGGAGAGGAACTATGAAATATGACACATGACTCACCACAGCGAATGCATAGGGCGACACAATGCCACCAACACGAGCAGCAGTGTTGGCCGCGCCATAGCCCAAGTTTCTGGAAAGTTTAATTACAAGTAAGACAGCATCAGTAAATGTTCAAGCAAAAATAGAACAAACCAACGATGAAATAGTGACTACTACCATCATTGTCTTAACTGCTATCACCGCTGCTTTTATCTTGCATTGCTGCTGTAATTCAACCACCACTCTAGTTTCTACTGTCGTTATAATTGTATTGATTCGTAAAATCTATTGTAGAATATACACGTTAATATTTTCCATTTCTTTGATGTTTGTTGTTTTCAAGCCTCATTTTTGTACGTTCAGATTTCTAGATTAACTTTGGAAATGGACAGGTAGCAGGTAAAGCCTGAAACATGAATGTTGTGCCTTTATTTATATTTATCCTTCCATCATGGTGCAGCTGGCTATCGTTACCTGATGACTGTCGGGTAGGATTCACTGGTGAACACCAGGAAACACGACCAGGCTGAGGCGACCCCAAGTCTACAGATCAGCGCCAGGGTTACGATAGCAGCACCACGAGTACTTTCAGAGGCTACTGCAGGTAGAATTGAGAGTCCTCGGAACATAAAGTTGAAGCAAACATTGAGATATAATACTGACATGAGATCACTTCTTGTCTTGAAAGTTTCTCTTGCGCGCTGAGAGACCATTTCACTCTCCACTGGAGGCACAGAAGGCCCGACCGTCCTTGCAAATATGGCTGTGCTAAATTAATCAAATGGTAAGGGGGTATAGGGCAGGAATTAAACTAGATAAACTGGATTATCTAATACGTACATGGGGCATTTAATAGATAAACTTTTGACAACGTAACATGTACAACGGATTACATGTTTTATGAACCGGAATAATAAGTCAACCATACATATTGTACAATACATACCAAAACGTGATACAATGGCGACGCCAAAAGCACCACACGTTGCCAGTAGGAAGAAGGAGAATCCTGTCCATCGACGCCCAATCCTAAGGAGATGAGATTTTACAGAGTTCACAGCAGACTGGACATCCTTTACATGTAAATTATATTCACAACATTTGTCACATGAATTGCATGAATAAAACGTTATTTACTACGTAAATACTTTCTTGGTATCTCAAGCCTCATGCCCAAGGTGACTTGCTTTCAGTCTGGATGAACAATCATTAACCAATAAGTATTACAGTGCATCGAACTTTCTTGATACGCCCTATACAGACACATTTCGTTTTAGCAATATTTGAAGATTCTTTTTGTACTTTGAAGTAATGAATAATATTTTTATACTGGATGCATACAAAGGAGACCAGCATTGAAGCAGCAGTTATAATTACGATAAGTTATATCGGTATCAAATGGACATGGAAACAGTAGTTTTCAGCATTTTGTGAGTGAGTGAGTGAGTTTAGGTTTACGCCGCACTGAGCAATATTCCAGCTATATGGCGGCGGTCTGTAAATAATCGAGTCTGGACCAGACAATCCAGTGGTCAACAGCATGATCATCGATCTGCGCATTTGGGAACCGATGACATGTGTCAACCAAGTCAGCGAGCCTGACCACCCGATCCCGTCAGTCGCCTTTTACGACAAGCATAGTCGCCTTTTGGGGCAAGCATGGGTTGCTGAAGACCTATTCTACCCCGGATCTTCACGGGTCTTCAGCATGTTGTACAACCTGGATATGGAAATAGCAGTTTTCAGCTTTCGTCATAACAACAGTTTTGAGAATCATGGTCTAGAAAGTGATACAAATCCTCGCCATTCCAACTAAAATGTCATTCACTAGATTTTGTACAATCATGCACATCTAGGCTGTGGTTTCCATTAGTATGGTGAATTATTCCTCAAATAAGTAATATTTTCGTAAATGTGTACACCTGCTCTTCTTGCTATATGTTGCACATATATGTATTAGACCGTGCCAATATACACTATTTGATACAAGTTAAGGAATATTGTTTTCGTCTTTTTATAGTATGGCATTTTAGCTGTCATGGCAGGTAGGTATTGCACCACACATCCGTTCACATGTAGATGTTCGGTAACTTATTTTGAGTATGATATGAGGAAGTCCAACCTGTTGTTCATGAAAAATGCCAGAACGTTGCTCGGTACAGACACCATGGACACAAGGAACATGTTGAGGTAGAGGTTTCCGGTCAAGCGCCCTACCCCAAAGGAGATCCCGTAGTATGTGAAAGACATGATCATCCTGTGTCAACAAGGGATGGTTATCGCACTGGATTGTATTGATCAAGTAAACAAAAGAACCATTTCTTAATCATAATAGTATAAATTGATTCAGCATTAGAATGCGTACACATTTTAAAGACCTTTTACAATCTCCCCTATCTTGATGTATGTAAAAATAATGAATATCTGCAGATATTTGCATTGGAGAAAGTCTGTATTGAAGAAATACAGATTCTGACCTAGGCGAGATAATATTTACAAAACAAAATCTTTGAATGACATTTAGAAGTGACACACATAAACCTGACGACGGGGGTGGGGATTATTCAACTTTTGCATTATAAGGAACACGACATTTTGAAGGACATTCTTACTCCTACACAAGGCAAATGGAAGCTACGAGGCAGAGAGCTAAAATGTACATATGAAAATATCTGGAGCCGTCAGTACACGTGGCGTGTATTACAAAGAAGTTACTCCTTCATCGGGTGAATGTAAACTATATATGGCAACGTGGAAGAGTTTGGCAGCTGCGACGTGACTCACCACACAACCTGATGGACCAGCGATACACGACACATACCCCAGCCTCGGTATATGTCCGAATAGTTGTATTTCCGATTGGAATTTCTACCACTCTTTTCCTCTTCTGCCAGTTTCCTCAGAAGAATTGCGGTGTTTGCTGGCTTCTGTGTTCTATTGTACCGAGCCATTTGATCCACCACCTTCTCGGCCTCCGTCAGCTTGCCATGAACTGCAAGCCAACGCAAACTTTCTGGCACAAATCTACAAGCAATGCAAGCAGGTTATTTCAAATGCATTGCAATTTACTAAAGTATTCATGTTGTAATGTGTTACACTTCTTCATCATGTGTTGGTTTTAAACCTGGTTATACATTCACCCAACTATCCACACGATTTCCTATTTTGGTAAACTTAAACAAAACTTTTAGAAATAGGACAATATTTTGTAAGGCTGTTCGTTATGAATCTTTAGACCCTTGGTTTCTCGTATGAAACAAAGTACATTTACATGTATCCAAGGAAGAATGGGATGTGCAGGGCTGCCAAGATGATGTGCAGATCTGACCAGTTTGGCCGCAGCCAACACGTCAAGGCCAGCAGGGCGGACCCACCAGCCCAGAAAGGAATGGAGATGGTGACCGGGCGCCACCGTAAGCCTACAAACTCCATGGGGTAAGGGAAGCTAACCACCAACACCGCACCGACCATCAATCCAATGCAAAATCTGTAAAGACATAATCACACCTTCATTACATACAGCCACACAGGACCATAGTGTTCTTCTATCCGAATACACTAAATATTCATATCAATGGAACACTGAGATGTGAAGATTAGAAAATATCGGTAGATTTTAATGGGTTTTTCTTTCTGTCAAACACTTTGTATAATTATTCCAACACCACGTCCCACATCTTTCAAAGATAAACATCGTCAAACAAAATTACTAAGCAGTTAGGGACTGCGTTTTATTTAGTGACAGTTACGAATAATGTCCTGTTGTCTTTACATAGGTACAACTGATCTTCAGAATCTTCAGTGACGAATAGTTGATATTTCTATGACAAGCGAGACAATAAAGTTTCATTTACACTTCAAGTTTCATTTCATTTAAACTGACTGACTGGATGAATCATCTTCGAATCAAAATGGTCCTACAGCATGAACGAATATACATTTACTTCTCATGAGCATGATAATCATTTCAGAAGAATTGGTCTGATTGTCGTAAGCAGCGACTAACGTGATCAGGTTGTCAGGCTCGCTGACTTGGTTGACACATGTCATCGGTTCCCAATTGCACAGATCGATGGTCATGTCGTTGATCACTGGATTGTCTGGTCCAGACTCGATTATTTACAGACCGCCGCCATATAGCTGGAATACTGCTGAGTGCAGAGATAAACAACAAACAAACAAACAAAACTAAACATGTCAGTTAGATGCATCTGTTATCACCTCAGTACGATGAACATCTCCCACGACACTGAAAACGCTGCCACCAAGTTGAATCCTCCATGCAGGAACAGTGAGACGTACAATGTCTTCTTTCTCCCGATCACATCAGCAGACTGGCCACTGAGGAACGCCCCAATCAGCACCCCTGTCATCTGTATTGCAGTAATTAATGGCTTGATGCCCTTCATGTCACACAGCAGGTTCCACTGGGGAGAAAACAGAACGTAAACTTGATTGCTCATATACAACAAAGACCTGTTCTCACATAAAACCACACGAGGTTGGTAAGTCTGGATTCCGTTTCCCATGTGTTCCCGCCATGACATTGCCAAATATTCTGTAGGTGGCGCAAAACACAATTCACTCACTCGAATGGGTCGGGTTCTTACTTTCCCCAAATGCCGATCAATGTTTTCTTCACGTTTTACTTGAGTATTTGGAGGGAATGTTCGGTAGCATCTACATTATACCAGTAATACAACAACCCCTTTTTTTATTCATCTTTTTGTAGGTACAAAAACATGACATCAAATCACAACCAAATATAAACCATGCGCTTGTATACAGAGTTTGGCGGTATCGCACATTCACAAGCATATCATAACACATGACATTGTAGAAAAAAGGATCAGTTGTACATTAGTATCAATCAAACAGTTGATGGCAATCAGACCAGAATCCAACAAATTTGATAAAGTTACAAGAAGAGGTGGCATGTGTTCTCTCGATATTGTAAATTTTACTTATTTCCTTTCTCATCATATCGAAACTTGGTGTACAAGTATATGTTCGTATTTTAAAAAGGGTAAATTTAACAACTGTTATCAGGAGATTAAGGACATCGTTCCTTTTTTCAGAGAATCCAAATATGATTTTCATCTTTATCGATATTCAATGTGATATCTGTTTTTTGTTTTTATCCAATTGGAAAATTGGTTCCATATGTTTCTAGATTTTGGACAGTCGTAAAATAGATGAATTCCGCTTTCTGGTGCATTTTTACAATATGAGCATAACTTATTTTCTACATATCCCATCTTAAACAAAAGTAGGTTTGTTGGTAAGATTCTATGCACTAAAGAACATTGGAACCATCTTAAGTCTGAATTTATGTGAGCTCGATATATAATCTTTTGATAGGATTTCATTCTCTTTCACTTATATCTGTTTCAAGTTAATCTTCCCATTTCTTTTTATATTTATATATAGCAGTCTAAAATTGGAATAAGTATATCGTAATATATCTTACAACCTTTCTTATTTCTAAAGATGTCTTGAATGTGATAAGGAATGAATGGTAATTCAAGTTTTTCTCCAAATGGTATGTTGTATGTTTTGAAATATTGTTTAACTGCTCTTACTAGGCTTGCATATTCTAAGAAGTTCGTTTCTAAATGATTTCTAGTTTGCTCATGAAACTTTTGATATGTAGACATTGTTCCATCAGTGTCTATCAAGTCATTTACAAAAAAACATGCCTATTTTAGCGTAGTGTGGGTACTCCAATGGTTTTTTATCCAGGATAATTTGTTCAACGACAACCCGCCATGCAGTTAGAATATTGATGTGTTAACAAACACGCCAGCTAATTTAAATCTCTCTGTAGTCTGGTACACAACATACCTGCGTTTTAATTTGATGCCATGACAACATGAATGTATCACTAAAAGGGTGAATTACTTATTGTTTTACCACTTACGTGTCATGGTTCACAAATTAATATGTTCCCAACTGGGGTAACATACCTCATTGATGACCGTGTCCTTCTCCTGGCTGTACACAAAAGTACAGGTGGTATGGTTGTCTGGTGCCGGACACTCCTTTAGGCCAGTGTACTCGCTGACATTCGTAGCAACATGACTGTCTGTGCACCACCACTTGTCGGGAGTAACGCCTGCGAACGACATCATCAACATCCCCCATGCTGTGATAGTCTTGGGACCGAGGGCGAAACCAATAATCATAATCTGGAAGCGGGACATTCCCCCAACCGCGTCTATTATCTCGTCACTGTACATCTCGGGATCAACGTTCTGGAAATACAAGGAAGGGAACTTTAACACCCACAGCGCCATTGTTCCGCGAGCCCACCTGAGGCAGTGGCGGGTAGTTGCAGAGTGCACTTTTCACGTGATAGGACAAATCTGTTTCAAGTAAACATGTAATAGAACTTTTACATAATATACTTACCTTGAAATAATAAACAGACATTCTTATCGTTTACAGACACGTATACCACATATACTGAGAGAAATAATTAAAGGATCGCAGGAAAAGGCAAGTGTTCCTTTACTATTTTCCAGTTTTCATCACCACAGCGCTATTCAAAGCTTGTGAGGAAAACTGGAAAATATTGAAGGAACGCTTGAATTTTCCTGTGATCTTTTATTTGTTTCTCTCAGTATATCATGTGTCATAAAATATTTGCACACGTGATGATTTTAGAATCATTAACACAAAAAGAGTGAATCCACCTTTATTCTCAAGGCAATTCCGGATTCCAAGTGGCATGCTCCTAATCTACGTCCAATATTACCCTCGTTCATTTCATCTCACTCTTCCTGTGGGGCTGGGCAAATGTCTTTAGTAGTCGGTGGCTGTAGACCGTGACGTATGCGTCATATGACATCCTTTTTGTATTATTGTGTGCTCTTAGCTTGTCATCGCAAAACAAGAAATCTGAGTGAGTGAGTTTAGTTTTACGCCGCACTCAGCACTATTCGTGATGTGTGGCGGTGGTCTGTAAATAATCGAGACTGGACCAGACATTCCAGTGATCAACAACATGAACACCGATCTAAGAAATTGGGATACGATGACATGTGTCAACCAAGTCAGCGAGCCAACAAGCATCGGTTACTGAAGATCAATCCTAACCCGGTAGACGATAGTACCGCTCAATGACACGTCTGGAAATAACACGTAAATGTGTTTTGCCAGTCACAGTAATCAGATTCCATACCTGATCCACCCCTAAACCGATCGTTCAACACTGTCTAACGTACACGGCATGAAAACGGTCATTCCGTCTACGCCACACGCTGTTGCGCCATTCAAAGTTAAGCTTGATCTATCCGACAATATGACGTTTGCCCAAAGACGATTAGTCCTTGCGTCAGTGTGACATGTCTGAAGGGCGACGTACCTTGTTCGACCTTGCTGGACAGTCTTCTAGTTCGTGTAGAGAAAGAATATTGTGCTGTTACTGTATTTTGCTATATCAAAAGGACATTTGTCGCTGCCGAGATGTCGCTTCCGTGTACAACAATACATACCGAATACACCAAAGCTCCTACTTTACATTCATATCACGTTTCTCCCCTCATAAGCTAACTGTAACATAACCTTGCGATGGCCATTCGTGAAGCCATTAATAATTGTGTAAGTTATTTACCTACCTTCAAGACGTGTAAGTATATTTGCAGTCACTGCGTATTCTCTTCAATGTGTAGACACAATGACTAAAACGGCCATGCCGCATACGTTCACATACACGACCCCTCCATGCAGAGGTGCTGTGACTGATGGTGGTGTAACTGTCAACAACCAGTCACTTTGTGTTCGTCACACGTCTCCGTCTCCGCCTTCCTGGATCATCTTGCACACAAGGAACACAAGAGGGATGCCTCGAAAACTAAAACGCACGTCTCCAGCCCGAAAGTCATGACGATGAACTTTCAGTAAATCCTCATGATGATGATTTGGAGAAAACTACCTTGCGCTTTCTGACAAGACAATTAACAGTAAACTCCGTTAAACAGTATCCCTTTAATTAGTTCGGATTAGCAAAACAGTTTTGCTGAGGACTGCTAGCTCTTTTCATAAACGCACACGTTGAATGGTATTCCAGATGTGCTTGCTTTGTTTGCTTATGAATTAATGATACGAAAGTTGGTGAAGGGCGGAATTAGAAACGGACTGTTTGCAAAGATAACGTATTCCTAACGATAGAGATTATATAGTATCACTTCAATCTAAGAGCCCGAATTTCGTCCTTAAGTAGCCTGTGTATGCATGTGTTAATACGAAGAATTTTAAAGAAAGATGTTTCAAGAACGTTTGTGTTAGTAAAACCAAACACCAAAACACATTTTATACTTTGAACGTGCCACATTCAGTACCGTCTTGCAAATTGTTTGAGTGTCATATAGACTTTAGATTTGAACACTTTCAATCAAGGTCGATTTGAGATTTGTGGATCTGATAGATCATATATTCTGCTTGTCATATATTTGTGATTACTTGACTTGGACATTCATGAAGCGAAGAGTGGAACGAGCAAAGGCCTGCGGGCTAGCGGGAAACTGGTTCGTGTTCCGTAGTCTGTGATTAGTGGACAGAGGAAGAGGTATAAACAAACCCATACTGTTGACGATACACCCCGTTCAAGACTATAGGATCCTGGCTCTTGGACATGGAAATCACTGTACATCAAACTGCTGGAAACTGGAGTACGAGTTATGGGTCCGACTATAAGAAACTCATCTCATCTCCATGCGCGATGACTATGTGTTGTGCGGCCACTACAAATCTTCCAACTGACAGCAGACGTCAATCTTGTACATGACGTGGGTAACTGTCGTTGCACATACGTATCATGGTTTCAATCGCGTTACACTTTGCACTTCATCCATAGTCATGGTTTTATTTAGCGACATTAAACAAACGTGAAGCCAGTGTCATCCTCTTGACAGATTGGGCCGTTGATCGGTTATGGTGTGGGGTGGCATCACAATATGAGTGACAGGCAAGACGTTGCTTTCGTGTAAGCCCGATAGGTTGCAAAGCTTTATATTTAGACAGTATTGAGGGCTTGTCCAACCTTTTTAGCAACAATCATGTGTAAGCCCGGGCTTTTCTTTATAATAGTTGCTACGCCCCTAACTGACCCAACCCAACTCCATGTTTTGAAGAGTCACTGGACAGCACTGTCTAGAAAACATACTATCACCCTTTGTTGCCCCGTTTACAGGCTGGTCGGTCGGCGTTCTGTCTGTCTTTCGGGACGACATATGTTGTCATTGCTCAACCCCTGCATGACATCACCATGGAACGCCATGAGACAATTGTGCATCGCTCAACTGACCTGGTCCATGAAACTATGGTGATTGTAATTCCCCAAATTAGGTACCTGTTGAGTGTTAGTTTAACGTGTGTAGTACGGCTCTCGAAAACACCCTGCATAGGAATCCCATATCTAAGACCAGCTATATACAGTGTAGTCCTCGCCACTTGAAACTGAATCAGGAAATACTTATTAAACACGCGATTATGAATTTAAGAAGATGACTGCATATACTGTTAATGCTACTGAAAAAGGGCCGTTCCGATGTTACGGAATATTACTCAGAAAGATGAAATTTGCAAAGTGTTAATTTGAGTAAATATCCATTTTGCAAAAGAGATAAACATCACCAGTTCGTAGGATACAGAGAAAGAGCAAAACCAACAGACCTGGACCCAAGCTCCCTGGACACGATCACCGTCGGAGTCTGCAATGCATGTGATGGCACATTTGCTTTTCAAAATGGTTATATGCTCCATAACAAAGATGAACCTATCCCGTTTGAATTTAGTATACATATCACGTCTGTGACCTCCATACTGGCTGCCCTGGTATCACAAACAAATAAACCGGATATTGTTCAAATATGTTACACTGTCTGAGATGTTCGGTTGATGTTCCCGCACGTACGTCCCTGTGGTTTAGTTATGCGCACTCCTCCTTGTTTCATTCATCCGTATCACCCACTTGAACATGGTACTGTATATACACGGTCAACATCTCTGTTGAACGATGTCTTTTGGACGCAGGTGTGAGACTCTGAAGATATATCATGTTTTATATCGTGTAAACATATGTGTGTATCAACTGGATCCTCACCATTTCTCTGTTACCAGAATTTCAAAATCACAGTTTCTGAGAGGATTCTGAAATATTCAAGTCACTGCTTTCGGAAAACAACTTTGGACATTTTATGGCATAGCGTATTTCACGGATAAATGTTGATTTTTTAAGTTTATTTAGTCACAACACTTTCTGGTTATCATTTAACTTATTATATAAGCTAGTTAAATTATACCCTAAGTACTCACTTATTCCTACATGTATTACGCCACAGGTCAGGACTGTTTATGTGCTGCAGTGGTTTGAGTGAGCCCCAACTGCAGCCTCAACGTTAGAGATGGTACTTGCATTGTTGTTACCCTGGCTGGCCCGAGGCACACCGGTGATAAATTATGGTATAAAGTTGGATAGTGTTGAATATAAATGCTAAACGCATGGTATGTCATTTGACACAAAAAATCAGCGTTAGTTCGAACTACTACAGGCAGCCGAAAACACACACACACAAAGACGCACGCACACAAACACACACGCACGCGCACACACACGTCGCTATGAGAGTGAGATAATCTTAAATGCAACGTTACACTCCATTTCTATGCCTTAACCTGTTGACCCATCAGACGCTTTACCCCGTGTATACATTTGTATGGATGTGTTTTAGTTGTTAACCATATGCTTTCATCACTGGTTGGGATATCGGACAGAGCTTATTTTCATCAGTAGCAGTAAGGACCTGTCAATCCAAGCTTAAACGTGTCAGTTCAGTGTAGGTCGTTAGCAGGTTTGTGTGTTCAACTTCTTGCTTGTTAAATGCCACAAACATATTTGAGCAATATGACGACCGCCTGCAAATAGCTGAGTTCTAACGAGCCAAAACACTGTTTAAATGTCCGAGAAACGACGACACGGACTATGTCACATATTCACAGTGGTTCGGCAGGGGTACACTCAGCTCATACCACGGATGGATCCCAACCAGCTGACCTTTCCAGCAAAGAGACACAACTATGCAGGTGAACTGATGCTTAATGTCACATGGGATCGTAGGGCAATCAATCCAAACGGAAACTCCGGAAAAAGGGTAAATGATAAAATAAACGTTTTGCCGAATATTATGATACGAAACAACATATTACGGCGAAAATAAGTCCTGCTATGCAGTGAAATCCCGTTAACCTGGAATGTACCTTGTGTAAAGATTCCACAACAAACCTCTGGATAGCTAAGTCACTCACGTTTATGTTCCATACATATAGCATCCGGAGTAACAAAGTGAGTGAGTGAGTGGACCAGCTGTAATAGAAGGGCAGGTAATCGAGTCTGTACAAGTACACAGAGGGATAAAAGCAGGAGCGACCGACTACCCAATTGACTCACCTCTTGCAACCAGGAAAGCTGTTAAAGGTATATTCCGTAACTACTTACACATGGAATTCTAAGATGCTTCGCTAAAAGACCAAAGGCGCCGGCTGTCAGCTGTCTGCTGCACTAAACTACTCCGAAGCGCCCCGTGTCTTGGTGTGCAGTTGTTCCCTCAGCTAACATGAAACACCATTAGAATTCAGCACCACAACTTCTCGTGCGGACGGTCTAGAGCTGTCATAGGTTACGACTCTCTAAGACAAGTAACCAGTTTTGTGAGAATCCGTCGGACGGGTACCTGCGACCTTAAAATTGTTAGTCAGACTTCTGACCGACTGAGCTACGTCCACACTGTCACACATAGAGCACATTTATCTAGTCATTCCTGAGACGTTACGGGAATGAACGAATTTGTCTGTGGTACTGTATTCTAAAGGTAGGCCGCTAACACCAATTGTGGAAACATTCCGTTTAACGTTTTTCGAAAGAAAAAATGTGTCAGCTCGAATGACAATCAAGCAGCGACACAGCAATGTTCCCTGACTAAGTCTATGTCCACAGTCCCACAATGCATCCGTGGTATGTCGGGTGACTAAAGTACTCACGGAAATAGAAACAAAATGGTTTTGGCTTTCATTTTATCAATTTAAAACCAAGTAACATTATTTTGGTAAACATTCAATAATCCCCCTTTTCCCCAAAGTTTACTCTTTGACATTATTGATGTAAATTCTCTCGAGAAAGATTAGTTTACAGGACAGAAAATACTTGGATATAACGAAGATATTTTGTTGTGTGTTTTAATTGCACATTTCCATTAAGAGATAAAAAAACATGAAAACCCCAAACCATTGTGTTTCTATTTCCGTGAGTACTTTAGTCAGCTTCATCTGGATATGCTGTTCGAAACTTACGTTGGTAGTATAAGTGCGACGTTCACTTTGCTTCATATGGTTTACGCGTACGATAATCACAGATATAACCAAAATAATAGAGAGAGCAACATATTTAACCTGAACGTAAACCATCTTCAAACGTGCGTATTTATGTAGAGGGGCAGAAATGGCATTAGAAAAGCACGTCAGATTCCTTGAACGAAGATAGTTAATTTAGGTCACCGACACTGTCGCTTTTCTGTTTGTTTTCTGCCTATATCAATCGTTGGTAAGTATTAAATTGGTCATCTTGGGTTTCGTCCTAGTGATAAATACAGTTCGCTCTACCCCCATGTATAGTTTAATAAAGTAACACGTCACAATTTAATTCTGGACTCACAAAAGTCCAGAAACTCTCCGCACTGTGGGCACTTTCTGACAAGGGATTCAACCAAATTTTAAACATGCAGTTGTTATGAATATATATGCAAAGGATGAAAAAATGAAAATTATTTTTTTAGAAAACCCAAAATTTATGGTTAGTTTCGCTCAGAATTCATGTTTTGGAGGTTGTAAATTAATGAGTGTATGTTTATAAGCATCATGACACAAATTTCAACTTATTTTGACTTAATTCGGCTAATTTAGAGCGATATTAAAAAATCTCGCCCATGGGTGAGAATAATTACTTTTACTCAAAATACATGTTTTTTTCATGTTTGGGGGGTTGTAAATGAATGAATGTATGTTTATAAACATCATGACACTAATTGCAACTAATGTTGACTTAATTCGGCTTATTTACGGCGATATTAAAAGATCTCGCCCATGGGTGAAAAACATTTTGGCCCATTGGCGAGCATATTTACTTGTACTCAAAATACATGTTTTTCCATGTTTTGGAGGTTGTAAATGAACGAGTGTGTGTTTATAAGTATCATGACAAAAAAATTAATATGTTTGGACTTATTTCGACTAATTAAGAGCCTTATTTAAACAATCTCTCCCATGGGCGAAAATCTTTACATTTGCTCAAAATACATGTTTTCTTTCATGTTTTGAAAGATGCAAATGAATGAAAGTACGTTTGTAAGTATCATGATACAATCTTTTGACTTAATCCGGCTAATTTAGAGCTCTATTACAAATATATCGGTCATGGGCGAAAATATTTAATTTTACTCAAAACTCAGTAATAAATGTCAGTCCACAATTGGCGAAACAGTTTGACCCACTGGCAATTTCACAATTAATTTGTTTTAGTTTGCGAAAAAACACTTAACAAAAGTATTTCTACTATTTATGAAAACAGAATGCGAATTGCTTCGTTTTATCCTTTTGATAAAAGTTGGTTGAAAGAAAAGAAATGAAAACATATCACTGATGAAAACGATTTGAGTGTGAGTGAGTTAATGTTTCGTCACATCGGCAATATTTGAGCCAAATTTGGACGTGAACCAATGTCAGTCAGATTTAAACCTAGCATTTGTTGTTTATATAATAGCACCGGCATACATGGTAATTTGTTCAAGGTCACGTGAATCAATCAGAGTTAGACATGCTTACATGACTGACTGACTGAGTTTGGTTGTACGCCGCTTTCAGCAATATTCCAGCAGCATCACGGCGGGGGAAACCAATTAATTAATCACAGATATTAGCTAATCCATGTTACCGTAAATAATGCAGATTTTTTAATATCGCTCTAAATTAGCCGAATTAAGTCAAAATGAGTTGAGATTTGTGTCAGAATGCTTATAAACATACACTCATTCATTTACAACCTCCAAAACATGCATTTTACGGAACTAAAATTCTCGCCATGGGCCACTGTTCATTGGCCGGCCCATGGATGTTCTGTTTCTAGACTTAGGGGATGTTGTTTCTAGACACAGGGAATGTTCTGTTTCTAGACACAGGGAATGTTTTTTCTAAACACAGGGAATGTTCTGTTTCTGGACTTAGGGGATGTTGTTTCTAGACACAGGGAATGTTGTTTCTAAACACAAGGGATGTTCTGTTTCTAGACACAGGGGATGTTCTGTTTCTAGACTTAGGGGATGTTGTTTCTAAACACAAGGGATGTTCTGTTTCTAGACTTAGGGGATGTTGTTTCTAGACACAGGGGATGTGTTGTTTCTAGACAGGGAATGCTCTGTTTTTAGACACAGGGGATGTTGTTTCTAGACACAGGGGATGTTCTGTTTCTAGACACAGGGGATGTGTTGTTTCTAGACACAGGGGATGTGTTGTTTCTAGACACAGGGAATGCTCTGTTTCTAGACACAGGGAATATTCTGTTTCTAGACACAGGGAATGTTGTTTCTAGACACAGGGGATGTTCTGTTTCTAGACACAGGGGATGTGTTGTTTCTAGACACAGGGGATGTGTTGTTTCTAGACACAGGGAATGTTGTTTCTAGACACAGGGAATGTTGTTTCTAAACACAGGGAATGTGTTGTTTCTAGACACAGGGGATGTGTTGTTTCTAGACACAGGGGATGTGTTGTTTCTAGACACAGGGAATATTCTGTTTCTATACACAGGGAATATTCTGTTTCTAAACACAGGGGATGTGTTGTTTCTAGACACAGGGAATATTCTGATATACAGGGAATATTCTGTTTCTAAACACAGGGGATGTGTTGTTTCTAGACACAGGGAATATGTGGCTTGGTACCTTTGTCTTGTCTTTTCTAAATCATTCCGCACATTGACAAACATCCTTGGTAATACGTTCTTTTCAAATCTTTTATTTGTTTGCAAGAGTAACTTTAGTGCAACACTTCATTACATTAATGTACAAGATGAAAAAAGCAATAGAATTAAACTTCCCGGATTTAGCTGATATATGATATATCGGTGTGCAGTCTTGGCACAAGCCGGTGTTCTTATATATACACTCCGTATGTCTCGAACTAACTCGAGAGTGGTTGATATATTTCCGTAAGTCCCCCAGATATTCCAGTAGAATAAGTGCCATGGCAGCATCAGGAATGTTCTCAGTGATCTTTGTCGGGAGGACCTGCTTCGTGCCAATATATTTTGGAGTTCGAAATTGAAAAGGGCATCTTAAGGTGAAAGTGCTTCCCTCACCCGGCCATACTTTCACAAGCGTGTCAGGCGGGGCAATCCAGTAAGGGAGGTCATATATTTGTTGACATTGGGGTACGTTGACGCCTGCAGCCGTAGGACACGACCCATACACATTCAAACACAACCCACACGTCTCGCTCTGTGTCAGACCCCGGGGTAACGCCTGACTACCCTGGGTTCTCTGGCCCATTCCGTCGTCTACACTTACAGGTGGGGAAGAAATTCAACAACATACTTCAAACCTTATTGTCACATATCCCTAAATGTGATTATAGCACATCAGATCGAGTGGTAGGCGTCCAGACATGGTATATGGGCGAGTGAACGGGTTATCGGGGAAGTAGGTCAGCACGCTATAAAGACACGCCCTCTACATGCTCCGTATCACTCGGGATATACCGCGGCTAGCACACTATAGTGACAATTCCTGTACATGCTCACTCGGGATACAGCGCGGCTGGCCACAACAATAACCAGGCGTGCGGAGAAGCTATTCTTAGCAGTAAAATGGCGTCCCAAGAAACGTGGCCGGAGCTCGTGGGAAAGGTAAATAACGATACATGAGTTTATTATTTGTTTACATACACCTTAAGACCCAAGTAAGACTGATAGCCGCTTGTTGTCTTTTCAAAACGCACCATGTGCAGCGGATATCAAACGGGCTCACCAGTCGCAATGCGCTAGAGTCTAAGTAAACCTTACTTCCGTGCTTTTTTGTTGAACACAAACGATGCAACGGCAATTGTATCTTGATAGACCTAGTAGTGGGATGAGGCTGTATGGACGTCGAGTAGTTGGGAGTAGGGATGAGGCTGTAGGGAGTCCCAAGCGATGATGATGGGGGTGATGCTGTAGGGAGTCATAGTGGTGAAGGTGTGGCTGATGCACGTCCTAGTAATCGGGTAGGGGTGAGTCTGTTGCGCATTCTAGTAATCGGGTAGGGGTGAGTCTGTTGCGCATTCTAGTAATCGGGTAGGGGTGAGTCTGTTGCGCGTCCTAGTAATCGGGTAGGGGTGAGTCTGTTGCGCATTCTAGTAATCGGGTAGGGGTGAGTCTGTTGCGCGTCCTAGTAATCGGGTAGGGGTGAGTCTGTAGTGTCTCTTGGTGGGAGGGGTGAGTCTGTTGTGCGCCCTAGTAATCGGGAGTATGGATGAGTCTGTTACGCGTCCTTGTAATCGGGAGTATGGGTGAGTCTGTTGCGTGCCCTAGTAATTGGGTAGGGGTGAGGCTGTTGCGCGTTCTAGTAGCCGGGTAGTACTGAGGCTGGATGGAGACATGGTTGAGGTGATGGTTGTGGAAACAGTCCTTGTGGGGATGGTAGGTAAGAACGCATTTTATGATTGACAAGCTGCTGACACGAAAAAAGTTGAAGCAGGAAATAATTCATCATTTCTGTCCAGGATACATATTAAAGTATTTACAAACAAGGAACTAAATTACAAAGTATGCCAGGGTATTGTGTTTTCTTCTGTAATGATAACGGTGACAGTGTTTAGCATAAGCAATATGTATAGTCAAAATATTCATGTAATGTTTGAAAGCTTAGGTATCTCAGTCACCCCAGTTGTCTCTCTTGAAAGAACCAGGATCCAGCGGTCTTGAGTACAAATCCAACATGCACGCTGATACAGACTTTACCAAACAGGAAAGAGCTGTGTCAAGATCACACACTGCTAAGAGTGTCCTAAAGCACATCTGACTCTCTCAATCTCGTTCCTTTTTCAGGGGGGTGAGGAGGCGAAAGAAACTATCATGGAACAAAATCCAAATCTTAAGGTTCGTGACAATTCTCTTAACTTCCTGGTAAATGGAGGAACAGAAAATATGACCTAACCATTCACCGTAATGGATATGTATGAGCGGCAAAGTCCGACTGAGTTCCAGGAATGGTAGGTTGGGAGGAACATGTTCTGTGAATGCCAGGCATTCAGCGGCAACTTGATGAGTGCTGGTATCACAACAACCGAAATTTGAACGATTACGTATGTGGCTGACGTTCATAATGATACTTTGAACTTATATGAATGAATTTAGAATAGCCGAGCGGAAGGTGGACTTGCTGGCTCGTATCGACTCTGTAATCACGTTTATCACGTGCTCTTCATTCCTCCTAGTGAGTAAGCCCTACGTGTAATTCCGTTTTAATGTTTCATGGCTGTATTAATTGCCTATAATGTAATCCAGTTTTCAGCTTCAATGAACTACCATGTACATGATTATGTTCAACAGGTTTCCATCTTGCCTGAGAATAGCATGGTAACCATGGACTTCTTACCTGATCGAGTAAGGATCTTCACGAAACCCGATGGCACAGTAGCGAGCCCGCCAATGATTGGTTGATAGTGTCACATGACCAAAGCCATAGCGATGCACCACTCACGCTGTGCCAGAGCTGTACAGTATTCCCGTGATCGACTCCATACTAATGTCCAGTGCACATAGGCAACAATAGATAAACTGTCTCTGTTAAAGTCCGTCATACACGCCATATTCTTCACACTCGGTAACCTTGAATGTTTTTGAAATCCATATGTACATGTACATATAACGTCAGTTTAAGAGAAATTGGTGTCATTTTGGACGTCAAACTTAACAAACATTTGCATAAGGATACAAATTTACATATCCCAGTTCACATTGTCAAAAGTATTTTTGTCCAAGCTTCGAGTACAAAATGGCTGTTCCAATTCAGTTTCACTGAACCTGAATTATATCATTGTCCAAGATCATTTTCATACACGACATATTTGAATAATGTAAATGGATTAACAAAATAGTAATAATCTCATTTTTGTAAAATGTACATTTGTAAACTTTGCTTCACCTTCAACATTGTCACCATTCCAAGTATATTATAAATTGTTATATTGTTAGTTGGTTGTTAAATATATTTCATACATTTTCGTCTGGTGTTGTCCTTCAAGAAATAAAGACATATCATAAACACTGTCTACTGTCTGTTCTGTTTAGTACAGATATCATAAACACTGTCTGCTGTCTGTTCTGTTTAGTTCAGATCCGCACAAATCTGCGCTTGTTCATAATATCAACCACACATTTGTCTCATCCAAACTCGATGTACAAGCTTCACTTGCTGCAATATGTTTTAAACACCACAGGCTGTACAACCCTAACCTTAGATGGGTACTATGTGTGTGCTTGTTGGGGCCTGTGGAGGAGTGTGGGCAGTTGTTTGGTGATTGCCTTACAGGCATCCTGGTGCAATCATGCCTCTTGATCCTCAGTGTCACGGGTATAACGGACCAGTTTACCCCGTCAGTATGAACCGTCCGGAGTTGAAGTGAACCAAGTCTATGTGTACACTCTGTTTCCTCGTGTGACCGGGCTGTAAACTGTTACCTGTGTGAGTCACACACTTGACAAACCTGTGTGAGTCACACACTTGACAAACTGCATGGCACCTTTATGGCTGTTCTCAAGTGAGAGCGATATTATATTGCACTGCAATAAATGTCAAAACCTCAAAATATGTTAAGGCTTGAATTAATATGAAGTACAGTTACATCCAGCACTCATGCATTGAAGTCTATATTGCATACGACTCCACGAATCGACTTTTTCCAAGTATCAATAATATTTCTACTATCCACAAACGTTTCATGATATCTTTCAAAGGATCTTGATGTCGACACGTACGCATTATTCACACCATCTCGATGACGACAAATAAACATACATATTATACCATCTCGATATCAGTGCAAACACACACATTTTATACAATGCATAAACGCACATTTCATACATCTCGATAACAACGCACACACACACACAACCATACCATCTCGAAACCAGTGCATACACACATATTTAAACGTCTCGATATCTATGTATACACACATATTTTATACAATGCATGCACACACGTTTTACACATCAACGCATACACACATAACCATACCATTTCGATATAAGTGCAGACACACATATTTCAAACATTTCGATACCAATGCAGACACATATATTTTAAACATCTCGATGCCAATGCATACACACATATTTTAAACATTTCGATATCAATGCATACACACACATTTTATACATCTCGATATCAATGCATACACATACACTTTATGCATCTCGATATCTATGTACACACATACACATTTTATACATCTCGATATCTATGCACACACACACACACACACACACACACACACACACAGAGACCGCCTCCGTGGTGTAGTGGTTAGAGCGTCCGCCCGGAGAGCGGAAGGTCGCGGGTTCGATCCCCGACCGCGTCATACCAAAAGACGTTAAAATATGGTACATGTTGGTCCCTGCCTGGCGCTCGGCATTAATGGGTACATCAAGGACTGGTCGGCTCGGAGTCAGTATAATGTGTGAGTGGGGTATTCATGCTTCACTGCGGCATGGTATCTCAGTGGGCTAGCACTATAAAACCAGCTTAAGTTTGGGCTAGTACAAGCAGCCGCACATACACATACACACGCATGCACGTCGTCATATGAGCGAAATATTCTCAAGTACGACGTTAAACCTAATTTCACCTCAACTCACACACACACACACACACACACATAACCATAACCATACCATATCGATATAAGTGCAGAAACACATATTTTAAACATCTCGATACAAGTGCATAGACACAAAAATTACAACATGTGTGGTATGTTAAACAAATAGAGAGTCCGTTACAGGCTTGAAATGTTCCCACCTGTACATGTTTAAAAGTCCTTTGATATGTATGACCAAATATGTTTACGTTTCCAAGGCAACACGTGGGAGTATGATTCATTTCTGAAGCTTAACATATGCAAGCAAACATGCTTTTGGCAATATAGGTGTCAGGGGGCGTGAGAAATTTTAATCGGCAGTTAAATGAAGAAAAATATACTTGTGTGTGTTTTTGTCACGAGTGCCGGTGTACGAAGCAAAAGTTCAAGGTGATAAGATGTCGGGGACCCCAATCGGTCTGCCTGTGTGTGTTGCTATATGAAGCGCCAGTAAAATATATAGAAATACACACTGACATTAATGCAATGCTTCCCACCACGACAGTCGTGGTCACGTCCGTGTGTAGCTTCCTGGATGTATGACTGACACTTGTCTAAAACTAATACACACTTCTATAATTACCTACGAAAGGCGAACATCGTGACACAATGCATTTCAACCACTATTATTGAACATTGAAGCAGATCTGATCACTTATTAAATATTGTACGCATAGCCGAGCAAACACAACTCACTTACTTGTCCCTCTATTATTGATGTAAAATAAGGTGAAGTTGATGGGCACCGAAGTTCTCAGTTTTTATTTTCCTTTACTGTAAATACAAGAAAGTGAAAGATTACTGTTTTATATTGAACATGCAGATTGCATGCTTGTATGTGCTGTTTCCTAATACCATGTAGACAGAACTTTACGGCACCTCACAACCAAACGCTGTCCTTCACGTTGATACGACAGGGAAAACATCTTTTCAGCAAACTCAACAGTGAGTGAGTGAGTTTAGTTTTACGCCTCACTCAGCAATATTCCAGCTATATAGCGGCGGTCTGTAAATAATCGAGTCTGGGCCAGACAATCCAGTGATCAACAGCATGAGCATCGATCTGCGCAATTGGGAACCGATGACATATGTCCAAATATCTCTAGTGAGCTATGTAGTCCTTTGACTTTGGGCTTAAAAATAACTAAATGTAGGATATTTTTTTGTGATTCGCCTTTTTGTGCTTCGAACTTTGTGTATACATGTACAGCAGAACCAAATCATATTGCAAATAGCACAAACAAATGTAATGCATCAATTTGAAAGTGTGCAAGAATGAGGGAGTTTGATTTAGCGCTGCTGTGATCAGTACTACTTCGCTGGAAGATGTGAAGGAAGCCCGAAAGTTATACATATTCACATCTTTGGTGAAAACTAGAAGAACGGATTAGGTGCCTAAAACCGAAAAAGGTTGTGGAAGTCGACCTGTTGATATCCGGGCATAGCCTTAGTTTCTATAACCCATCTCACTCTCACATTGATTCATTTACTTACTAAATATTTGCCAAGGACCCTAACCTTGCGCCATCCCTGGAAGAAAACATGGAGAGAAATATGTCCTGAGATGAAACTTCGTCTGCATGAGCGGGAAGTGTTCCCTGTGCAATAGTGATTATACCCATGCAGTGTTCCAGAAAAGTGTAGCGTATCCTCGTCCTTCGGTGTCAACCGTCAAAAGAAATGATTTTATAGGATTGTTAATTTGAAGGGCTCATACCTCCGATTCACCGAACTTGAATGTTTAATTTTCTCATTTAACTTAAGCTTTGTGCAGGATCCTACCCCGTGTTGTACCCCAAGCATGGAGAGAGTCTCCATATATGTACACCCAACATGTCAACCGTTTGACAACGTGATCCCGAGTACGACTGTTGTAGCAACTGTATGACAACGTGATCCCGAGTACGACTGATGTAGCAACCGTATGACAACGTGATCCCAAGTACGACTGTTGTACCAACCGTTTCGCAACGTGTTCTCAAGTACAACCGTTGTAACAACCATTTCACAACATGATCTCTAGTACAACCGTTGTAGCAACCGTTCCACGCGTCCTCAGGTTGAGAATGCGTGAAACGGTTGCTCCAACGGTTGTACTAGAGATCATGTTGTGAAACAGTTGTACTTCACAAGTACAACTACGTGATCTCTGGTACGATTGTGGTAGCTCCTAATCTGAAACATACACAAATTATGGACACAGTGTCGGGCTGTTGGACGTAGTGCAAGTATCAATACGTATTTCTTAAAAACTCTTGCGAGGGTTCTCAGATTGTCTGCCGTAATAATTCTTCATCCGTGGCAGACAGAGATACACGACAAGCAAGTGACGGTTACACCAAATGTATGGACATCAACTAACCATAAATACAGTCAGAATCCGGACTCGGAACCATAAAGGTTTGTTTCCGGTATGCTTAAGGGACGTAACTCGGAACACACTGTCAGGGATGTGACAAACGTGTTTCAGGAACCAACAAGCGTGGGAGTTTCACTGTACCTTTTCTCAGTCATGTCCCAGGCACAGACCCTCGTGTCTTTGCGAGGATTAAAGATTTAAAAAAAAAAATCAGATGACCCCCCGACTCGAAATGCTTCACAGTACAAAGTATTGCCATCTTAATCTTTTTTAAATCTTTAATCCTCGCAAAGGCACGAGGGTCGGTGCCTGGGACATCACTGAGACAAGGTACAGTGAAACATGTTTGTCACATCCCTGCTCCGATCTTCCACTTGTTTACATTCTGCCCTAAACGGGATTTCGCATGTGTCTAAAATAGTTTTGCTGCTTTTAACTAGACGCGCGTAATTAAATGAGCCTAAATGTTTCACTGCAAGTGCTCGTCCTCGTTTAAAGAGACTTGATGATCCTAGGCAGGACGTAATGATACTGGTTGAAACATGAGACAGCTTTAGGAAGAGCAATTCGAAGTTCGGCTAATTGACTTTGAGCAAAGATAATTATAACATGCTTTCTGACAGCTGAGTGCAAGTTCTGTCTGTGTCAACCCGACATCAGAGACAATGATGAATTCGGTCCAGGGTGCTCCGTGTTCCATAGGATTTAATTTCCCATTGGATTTTAGGGGATACTGACTCATAACTTGATACAGCCTGCCGCGTTGGTTCGTTTACAGTTGTGCAAGCCGTTTTCGTCATGTGAATATAATATGTTATTATAGGGATGTTTCAGTAGGTACGGATTCTAGTACAATTTTGGGGTTGAGTCCCGTCCGGGATCTGAGCACACAGTCCCAGAGTATGGCATCTAATCGCCAGCACACAAAGTCAGCGATCCAACCAATGTTCAGTAAAGTACAGATTTTAGTCACGTGAGCATGGGTGAAGACTGTATGGCTATTGAATGTATGGTATAGTACTTGTGTTTTAGAGCGACTTGGACCTATAAACGGTCTATTTGCGCCCAACACATCAAATGACTTCAAACAAGAACAAGTGAGTAATGCCAATGAGATGAGATTAACCAATCAGCTTCATGATCTAGTTTATATTGTAAAACCTCAAGCAATTACTATTTCACCTCTGAAAGCAGATCAGAAATATTGGAGAAACCGTAAAAAATGGTTTGAAAGTCAATACATATCTATGTCTTTATCAAATTTGTATAGTATATCAAGTTTTTCCGATGCAGTCACGGAGTCTAAAATTGCCTGCTGAATTGAATCACAAAATATGTTTGGGCCCAAAAGTGATAATAGAGAGAATTAGAGAAACTGAGCTTTCCATCTCAAGTACTGCACCTCTTAAACTTATTCTGATATGATTGTGGCCTAGGCATTCAATCAAATAATGTTTCACAGTCTCGGGAGTACTTTCGTCACAGTGTGTACATACGGGAGATACCTCTTTAATAGTGACACTGCGGTAAGCATTTAAACCACAGTGTCCAAGTCCATTGATTATGACTTCCTCACGCTTCTTACGTCAACGAATTGTCCGATTTGATTTTGTCGTGAGTACAAACAGAGTGCATCTGTATTCTGTATGTACTGAGATCATTAAATCTCAAATTTTTATTCCGTATTTTAGGCCACATAGCCCATAGTACAATTGTGTTGCAAGATATACAATCGTTGTCACATGACCAAAGTTACATTAAGAAGATCTTAAGCTAAATATTTTTATCAGATATATAGATGTTAAACGTAATATATTTACATCATGTGTGTTTAATATTTGTTGCAAAGTTAATCTAATTTTACAATATTTTTTGATGGACAAGAAGTATTCATTACGGAGTAGAAAATATCTATTACAGATAAAGAAAACATGGTATTCATTTTCTACAACATTCATATCACAGTGCAAACAAATATATTCTCTATCTGTATTCCCAGCATCCCATAACTGTTGCTAGCTTGAGGTGAAGGATTTTACCATTATGCTGTCGAAATCGCTTGGCTGGGGTCTGAATTCCGATATCGTTACTTCAAGAGTTTGCAAACCACATTTCGCAAGCTGCCCAACATGAGCTGGAATCAACACAATATCACACGTAATATAAGAAAAGGTATCCAGCTTTAGTATTTCATAAACAATGTCACTTCTTGTACCAGATTCGATTGCCATAACATCTGCCATGGAGTCATTAAATATAACTTCCTCATGATTATATTCATTGCTATGGAATTCTCTCTGCCAAGTTGCGTCACTTAGTCTCTATTGTACGGTGCAGTATAGTTGATTACATCTTGAGAGGCTTTCTTAACGTTGGTTGGTAGGGTATAATTGGTGATGGATCCCGTTACCTCTTGATAGGATCAGTGTGCATCAGTGACGTAATAAGTGTTATATGAAGTCGAGAGATTCCGCGGAGGAACCGGGTGGGCAAGAAGGAGGACAGATCTTCATATGCTTGGTATCTTAACATCATGACTTCCTCTCCATTCTTTGCAGTGTAAGCACTTTGCGCCATTTTTTCAGGTGCCAAATCGCGTCCCCGTAAAGCATCAGCTGGTGCTGATTTCTTGAGAGCTCAGAGTATGAACGTACTGTCTTGCCCAATTGAGCATCTGTTGGATGAGATGAGACACACCTTAACGTCAATATCAGCACGGGAGAATTTACTTGGCTCGCCGGTAAGAATAGCAGTCATTCCTCAAGTTGTCATCTTGGTTTGCTCTATGAACAAGAGGTGTTGGACTGTCATTCAGACAAATGGTGGCCACACAGGGTACGTGGCTTTATTACGTGCTTGAGATTGTGGCGTACCCGTTTACTTCTTGGTTAATAATTGTGTAGCGTCCCTGGTGTCACTATTACAGTCATGCAGAGATCACGAGAGTACGTCAATACAGAACTCGACAACTGTATATGGATGATATATACAATATCGGGATAGTATTCATCTATATGGATGATATATACAATATCGGGATAGTATTCATCTATATGGATGATATATACAATATCGAGATAGTATTCATCTATATGGATGATATATACAATATCGAGGTAGTATTCATCTATATGGATGATATATACAATATCGAGAGAGTTTTCATCTAAATGGATGTCATTTAAAACATTGATGCAGCATTCACCTATAATTGATGCTATATACAATATGGAGGCATTATTCATCTATATGGATGCTATATACAGTAGCGAGGCATTATTCATCTATATGGATGCCATATACAATATGGAGGCATTATTCATCTATATGGATGCTATATACAGTATCGAGGTAGTATTCATCTAAATGGATGCTATATACAATATGGAGGCAGTATTTATCTGTACAGATACTATATACAATATCGAGGCATTATTCATCTATATGGATGCTATATACAGTATCGAGGCATTATTCATCTATATGGCTGCTATATACAATATGGAGGCATTATTCATCTATATGGATGCTATATACAGTATCGAGGTAGTATTCATCTATATGGATGCTATATACAATATGGAGGCAGTATTTATCTGTATAGATACTATATACAATATCGAGGCATTATTCATCTATATGGATGCTTTATACAGTATTGTCTGCTCACGTCTGCACAACGTCATGAGGCCATTGGGATGGTCCGTGGGCGAATGTCTCAACGACAAGTGGCTGCACATTTCCACTGCCACCGGAACACCATTTCTGCACTGGTGAGACGCTACCAGAACACAAATGACGACATTGATCGGCCACGTTCTGGACGTCCACGTGTCACAACGCCAAGACAGGACAGATGGATAAGGGTGACCCATCTTCGACACAGGTTTCAGACTGCAGTGATGACTGCCCGAACCATCCCAGGACTTCGCCGTATCCACCTCAACACAGTTCGACAACGTTTACGTCATCACGGGATCAGACAACGACGTCCCGCCATACGGCCTATCCTTACACAACGTCATCGACAAGCTCGCAGAATGTGGTGCCGAAATCATGTCCGCACACCCTTGTTTTGGTGGAGAAATGTTGTTTTTACAGATGAGTCCAGGTTTAACATTTCCCATAGTGATGGACGTCAACGTGCCTATAGAAGCGTGGGAGAACGTTATGCACAGGCCTGTGTCTTGGAGAGGAATCGCTTTGGTGGTGGTTCCGTGATGATTTGGGGTGGAATAACAGCACGCCAAAGATCTCCTTTGGTGATTATTCAGGGCAACTTAACTGATGTGGGCTACAGGGATCAGATTCTTCGACCTGTGGCAATTCCTTTTCTGCAACGTCATGGCCCTGGGTTAACATTCCAACAGGACAATGCCCGCCCTCATACGGCAAGGGTTGCTATGGATTTCTTGCAACACCACAACGTTGACTTACAGCCTTGATGGAGATGGATCGACGTCTACGCCATCTTCCTCATCCGCCAGATAACGTCCTTTACCTTGCAACAGAACTTGAGAGAATCTGGCGTGACATCCCTCAAGCCTTCCTTGCTCTATGCGTCGTCGATGCACTGCTGTTCTCAATGCCGATGGTGGACATTCCCGTTATTGAGCTTGTGACATGGTCGTTTGACCCCTGTCCCGCTTGTGGACTCGTGACGTCATTGTGATTGACTTTTCAATTGAAATTCTCCCGACTTGTTATGGTCTCATGATCTCTCCATTAAAGTTTATATGTACCTTTGACATTGTTATCGTACTTATCAACTGGGATAATATTTTGACAATGCACAGTTTCTTTATGTGGCTAGTATATATGGATGCTATATACAATATCGTGGCAGTATGCATCTATATGGATGCTATATACAATATCGAGGTAGCATTCATCTATATGGATGCTATAAACAATATGGAGGCAGTATTCTTCTCAAAGAATGGAACATGTGGTATTAGTGGGATGCTACCAGTTAGATGTACACATGCTAAACACAGCCTCTGGTCCCTGATATAAATCCAGCTAGGGTTCATGCAGGTAGCAACAGCACTGTAAGTCCCCATGGTCCCTAGTATGGTGATCTACTTTCAGTTGTTGGCGATCAATAGCCCATTTTTACATTGTATTGTCCAAACATAGTTTTCTACTTTTAAAGATATATGCTAGCTAGCTTTAACACATTTTGTGATAATCTAGTAATTTTACTGCCCTTCGTTGACAGGGTTTTACATGTTATATGTATGTATTATGAGAACTAGTTTTAGTCACGATATGGCTGAAATATTGCTGATGTGACTTTAAATCCTAACTCACTCACTTGAACCTGAACCTGAGATGCAGTGATTAAAATGAAAGTCGGTTCAAAACAGCGTTGCACTCACTCACTCTCACTCACTCACTCACTCACTCACTCACTCACGCAAAATAAATTCTTATTATAAGTATATCGGTCAATGTCTTTCAGTGGCATTTAGAAGTTGTACATTGATGTCCAAGATATTTTTATGGATTAAACTTCTTTTAAAGTTCACCTGATGAAGGGACCTGGAATGGTCTCGAAACGTCGTGAGAGAAATTAAAAAGAAGTTTAATCCATAAAAATATCTTGGATATATCGGTCAAGTTTATACAAGTTTATAAAAGATATGATGCATTTCTCAGGCATTTGAACTGGCCTTTGTACAAGCTGCCGAATAGTGTTGCTAGGTGGTATAAACATATCACAGTTATTATAAGAGTGCAAACATTGGTAACATTTAAGCAACACGTACTTAAATATCGAGGATTTAATGTGACGGTGTTCAAACACACACTAATGTATTCTGTTTATCCAGATCTCACTAAACGGTAGACCAACACCACCGGGAACACGGGTGCGTGGATTGCGACAGAGATCCGCCCGAGGTGTATGTGGAGAGGGCACAGGGTATACCCCGCAATAACATTTCAAAACTGAAATTGCATTTATGTGTACAATACCAAATATTGACTTAGGTTCTCGTCAGTGGCAACCGGTTGCCTGGCTGGTTCGTGAATGACACGTACATAGTGAGTGAACTGCGATACTTAGGATCGTATCTGTCAGGGGTGTAACTATTCAGGTGAGTTGTTTTAGGTATTATTACGACCCCGTGAAAACGCTACTGTCCAGATTCTCGGGGTTTTGATAATTTCGCGTATATATATGACTGACTGATCCTGAACATCGTAGTGAAGATAAACCCCAGAACAGGGCGTCCTGATTAGTTAATCATTGAAAAGTGTACACTGTTTAGTATATACATGTGCGTTACGGTCCCAAAAGTGTACACTGTTTAGTATATACATGTGCGTTACGGTCCCAAAAGTGTACACTGTTTAGTATATACATGTGCGTTACGGTCCCAAAAGTGTACACTGTTTAGTATATACATGTGCGTTACGGTCCCAAAAATGTACAATGTTTAGTATATACATGTGCGTTACGGTCCCAAAAGTGTACACTGTTTAGTATATACATGTGCGTTACGGTCCCAAAAGTGTACGCTGTTTAGTATATACATGTGCGTTACGGTCCCAAAAGTGTACGCTGTTTAGTATATGCATGTGCGTTACGGTCCCAAAAGTGTACACTCTTTAGTATATACATGTGCGTTACGGTCCCAAAAGTGTACGCTCTTTAGTATATACATGTGCGTTACGGTCCCAGATGTCATCCTCTAATATGTGGTATTAGCATGTTTAAATATATTTCAAAACACTAATATAATCAGATAGCTTTTTCAATTTAATTTTTCGGTTTCCAAACGTATTTTGCATCAGAATGTCTCACGGTTGTTGGCGGTACAACTCGTCCATTGCTGCCATCAAGACAGTGTTCTCCTGCTCCTGTGGTTGCTGTGGTGACGCCTACCACAGATTCTGCTGTGACACGTCGTTCTGTGATCCAGACGGAAGATGCAGGTATGTTCTTCAACCGACAAAGAAAGCAACTGTTACTGAAA